CAGAGAGCTCCAGCCATGGCAGTATGTGCCTGGAGAGCAAGGACATTGTCTCCCTATGCAGTGGTCGGCAAACTGCGGCTCGCGAGCCACATGCGGCTCTTTGGCCCCTTGAGTGTGGCTCTTCCACAAAATACCACGTGCAGGGGTGCACGTACAGTGCGATTGAAACTTCGTGGTAATAACATGCGCAGAAGTCGGTATTTTGTGGAAGAGCCACACTCAAGGGGCCAAAGAGCCACATGTGGCTTGCGAGCCGCAGTTTGCCGACCACTGCCCTAGGGATCTCTGGCGAAGGTTCAGCCATTACACCCACAGAGCAAGAGGAGAGACAGTCAAAGGGTGTCAGACATCAGATGAGGACTGGACCAGGGTGGGTCTGAAATCCCTTGCAAAACTGAGACTCTGTCATTCTGTAGACCTTGAGTTATTGCCTTTTAATTAAAAACTTAAAGCACCTTTCCTAAGGCTTGACATTCAATATCCTGGAGGCAAAAGCCTAAGGAGTCGGTTTTAGTATCTGTGTGATCGCAGTAGTTGGTGTAGCAAAACCTTTTGTTAATACTCAGTGGCTAGAGCATCGGTCAGCTCACGGAAGAGTCTGGGGTTCTATTCCCGGTAAAGGGAGCATACCTGGGTTACACGGTGCAATCCCTGGCCCAGGTCCGGGTGAGTGCAGGAGGCAACCAATCGATGTGTCTCTCTCACGTTGATGTTTCTCCCTTTCTCTCTTACTCCTCCTTCCCTTCCACTCCCTAAAAATCAATGGAAAAAATATCCTCAGGTGAGGATTAACAACAAGAAAAAAATTATAGACTGTCTTGGGCGGGGGAAAAAAATGGACACATATGTAATACCCTTTGTAATAAATAATAAAATTTAAAAAAAAAAAAAAAAAAAAAAAAAAAAAAAAAAGCAAAAAAAGTTGCGGGCACATCCCCAGGAGGAAGTGTGCAGGAGGCAGCTGATCGATGTTTCTAACTCTCTATCTCTCTCCCTTCCTCTCTGTATGAATGCATTTCTTCCAACACTTTAAAAAAAAAAAAAGAAAGAAAAAAATTATAATTCACTTCAGTTTTGCCTTTTTACAAGTCCTGCTGTTGAGAGAAGTACATTCACAGTTTTGTTGTTTTGGTTGTTACTTGGGAGTTTGGGGTAAGGGGGTCTTGGGTTTGTATTTTAATGGACTAAATCTCTGTGTCTCAGATTTGACACTTTTCCCCTCTCCACTAAAGTCATTGAAATATATTCACCCGGTCATTCACATCAGAGGTGTAAATGGTTTTTCTGAAGGTTTTTTAAGAGACAGTCAAAGCCCATCACTTTGTGACTTGAATTCTTCAGGTATTTCGATCAGAAAGCTTAACAAACCCTCCCAACTGCAAGGATGCTAAAACTATGTTTTGACCTTGACTCTGCCCGGAGTGGGGGGTGGGGGGGTGTGGGGGGGTGGTATTGACATCTTTTGCTAGAAGTGCTCATCTACCACCTCTTGGTTTTAGCCATTGGTGTAGAATTTACTTGGGAAAGAGAAAGGAGAAGCAATCAAATTGAGCCTTCAGAGTGTGAGGGAAAATAACAAGTTTATATGACTTTGCAGCTCCCAATGGTTGTTGCTGTTATAGTTTAAATTTTTAGGTCACCTTTTTTGTCATTGATATTTGCAAAAACCTGACTTAAAAAGTGCATCAGCCATGTCACACAAAGCCTTATTTCTCCATTTGTTTCATGTCATCCTCTCAGGTTTAGTCTTAAAATATAACCCCGAGGAAACAGTAAGATTGCAAAGACTTTACTTACACCACTCAGGACCCCAGGCTCTGGAGTCGAGAAGCTAAAGATTGGATTTCCAGCATTGCCTCTTCTTATTTCACTCAGTGTCTCTGAGTCTCAGTTTCCTTCCCTAGCAGGTGGAGAAATGATAGTACCTAGCTCATAGGGTTGTTGTGAAGATTATATAACGTAACAGACACTAACCAGTGGTTCTCAACCTTCCTAATGCCACGACCCTTTAATACAGTTCCTCATGTTGTGGTGACCCCCAACCATAAAATTATTTTCGTTGCTACTTCATAACTGTAATTTTGCTACTGTTATGAATCGTAATGTAAATATCTGATATGCTATATGTGTTTTCCGATGGTTGCGACCTACAGGTTGAGAACCGCTGCAAGCCCTCAGACATCTTAAGTTCCTCATAAATGTTAGCTATTATTATTCTAGTACTAATTCTAATGGCTTCACCAAACCTTAATTATGGAGCTATTGTCCGGATTAATGACATCGTGGCCAAATCATTCCCTTACACAGCTGCAAAGCAGGTTTTGGCATTGTGTAACAATTCATTCTTAGCTAATGAACTTGAACAGCCATTTTTGAGAAAATAATGAGGAATCTTGAATCTAGAATTAGAAAATGCATCCTATTTGCCAGGAACTTTTTAGGAACAAATATCTAACTATTCTAGGAACAAATATCCTAAGTCCTTGGGAGAACTGCAAAGAACCTACTGTGTGTTGGTGACTATACACTTGAAATGTCCGGGCAGGAAGAACTGCAGATCATAGTGCTTTTACCTTTCCTGTCTAAGAATCAGTTGTCAACTAGAGGTCAAGGTCGTACAGCAACTGATCACTGCCTGCATGCCTCAGTGGGACTGTAGAAAACTGCACTGGCCACTCAGATGTCCTCCCCGGGGACCAGGGGTGTAGTGGAGTCAGTTCTGGGTGGGGAGTTGGACAAAGCAGGCTTGAGTCCAGGCTTCGCCATTTATTTTCTGTGTGACTTTGGTCTGGTTGCTTGGCTTTTCTCAACCCTAGTTTCCTCATCTGTGAAATGTGGCTATTTTATAACCTAACTCCTTCAAGAGGTCAAATTGTAAATGTGCATAAAAGTGCTGAAGCCAAATGCCATTAATAGTACTGGTGTTATTACTATTACTAATGCCATGCCACTATTGCAAAGAAAAATAAATGGGAACAGGAAGAGCATGGATCCCTGTGTACTACATGTGACACCAGTATGACTCCTCAAACACAAGGCAAATGTCCTCAGAGTGGTGATGAGACTTAACCTTCTTCCTGGCTGAAAATCCTTATCCTATGACAGATATTCTACCTGTGTCTCAGAAGTATTATTAGCGTATTGATAATCCAAAATTCACGGTAATATGTTTCTATTCTATTTTTTATCTGAATTTAAGTGAGTTGACAACAGAAAAACCGGTTAGGTTATAAACTAAGTCATATCCATTGTCCATATACTAAATTATTTACCAACTCATTACACCCTCGCTTTAAGTTCTTCATTTGTTCACCATTTGTTGATCAGATCCCAAGCTCCCTCGCCTGACCTGCAAGGCCTTTGGTGATCTGGTCTCTGGCTCTTCCACTTGATGCTTTCTTCTCACCCTGCTCAACTTTTCATAGTTTTGTGGATGCCCTTCCCTCTTCCTGAAATATCCTTACCCCTGTCTGCTGGATCCGTTTCCATTAATTCTTATAATTAATGGAACAATGCCTGGCCTATAAGTGGACATTCAATAAGTGTTTAAACAAATTGACTTGAAATCCGATGGCTCCTACATAGACTGAAACAAGCGAGTATTTTTGTTTCCACTTGGCCTTGTAAAGTCTGGAATTCCTACTAAAGTCTGAATATATTCCACATCATTGAAAGGCAATAGCTCTTATAAATTATTTTGCACATGGAGCTCTCCTAAATGTGCCAATGAGAACCTGTTTCATAGACACTAATGGAGTTGATAAGCCACAATATACATTTTAGTAAACAAATAGGTTAAATATATAGTATAAATTAAAATGCTATATTCCTTATTGTCCATTGCAAAAGTTTGCACAATCAAGAAGCATGTGTTCTATCATTTAACAATAAAACGGGCATATATGTGAATATTCACATGAGTATACTCCTAAGAAAGTCATGATAGCAATGTTTACTTAAGACAGGTCAGTCCCTCTGGGGCCATGTCCAAAGGATTGTAGTAACTAATGACAAAAGGACTTCCTACAGGACTTCTTTCCCAAAAGTAATGCGGTAGTACCGTCCACAGATCCTGGGCAGAGTATACTCTCTGTCTGTCTGCCTGTCTCTCTTCTCTCTCACACACATGCACATGGACTCTTTGGGATTTTAAAGTTCCAAGTAGAATTCATTAATAAAAATATGAAATGTGTTTTGTTTTATAAATCATAGTCAAGTGTGGAGAGATAAAGGAAGAACTAAGGGGCGAATAATCATCTCCTACTTTCCACTGAAACCTGTCAGTTCACTCCCAACTCAAACACCTGGTTTAAAAGATTTATCTACAAGAAACCTAAAAGTTTGTATCCTGCCTCATCGACAACAGCCTCAAACTGTTCCTTGTCATCTCAGAAAACAAATCTTTTGCTCCTTCCTGCCTAGGGGAGGCCGAGGGACGGAGGTGGTCCTGTGTGGCCGAATTAGATGAAAGACTTGCCTTCCACCATGGAGACATGGAGTCTAATCAAGCGAAATGAGTTCTGAGATCCCAGCTCATTTCCTAGGGGAGATCAGTTCGCATTACAAAATCACGGCATCTCATTCATCACAACTGACTCGGTCTTTGCTCAGGAGAGAACCCCAACTGGGACTAAACCACCTGTCTTCCCTTGCAAAGAGGCACTTTATCTGAGGTAGAGCTGAAAGCCTGGAAGTGAGAAAGCTTGCCAGCTTCCACCCGAGTGATACACATGCAACGTGGAAGACAACTTAAGTTTTGCAAAGGAAGACGAGTTTAAGGAAGATTGGTGGTTGTGACTTTAAAGATGCCAGATACAAATAATTGTAACAGAGATACTATGGCATTATGGTGGAGAGAGCCAAGATTGGGGCTCCCTCTTCTTTATCTCCTAGGTTCTATTAAAGGATAAGCATTTCCATGCATCAGAGTTTAAAATGGCAAAGAAAGTGTGCTGATTTCTATGCTGATAAATGATCATCATCTCTTTTATTTCTTTCAGGGCATTGTTATAACACCCCTGCTACTGCTGCTTTTTGTGAGTATTTTGATGTTGTCTTTAATATCTTTTATTAAAAGCCATCTACAATCCTTGAAGAAAGGCCATTAAAATAGAATTGAAATTTGAATCACTTTGTATGATTTTGCATCACATTTTGAACTGTTCTCCCATTTGAGCTGTAGCAAGTAATAACATGTGGACCCAAAGGATCTCTGTAGCCTCATGATCCAAGGCCAGTGTCAGGGCCCAGTTATTAAGCCTCCAACTCCTGGCCAAGTCATGAATTACTAGAAATTAGTGGCCTGTGACTAGGTCACAAATGTACTGCTCTTTATTTTTCCATTAGTAAAAACAAAGTGATTGCTAGTGGCCCAGTATTTGATAGAAAGAGCCTTGGACCCAGAACCAGAGGAAGCTTAGGTCCCAAGGCTGCCAATAACTGGCTTCCCCACTTTGGGGAATACTGCCTCAATTTCTTCATCTGTAGAATGGGAAGCATTATTACCTACCCCAGTGTGCCTCCCAGGAATAATGAAATGTGCTTTAGGAATAAAAAAAAATACAAGCTACTGATTAACTAAACAAAAATTGTACAGAAAATAAGAAATGCTAATTAGCTGTCTTATTTCTTTTGGTACTAAGCATATGAGAAATTAGATGAAAAATTATAATAGAAATTAATGTTATCTCATGCTGAGAAAAGCATATGTAATCATGAGTGATACCTAAAATATTTTATGAACTGTGCATTTTTCATACACACATCTCCAAAATATAAATCACTCCACTGATCACTGCAATGGAGGGGGTGTGTTTCTGGGAGTGAAATGTAGCTGTTTAACTAGCACTGTTTGTCAGTGAATTAAAACTATGGGGAAAATTTATTTAATTATAGGGTAATTACCCAAGTTGGAATTCAATTAGAGTAATAGAGTGAGGGACTTCATTTCTTACAAGCTGTGCAGGAAGTGGAGGGGGAGAGATACTACTAAACAGTTGGATTCTGCATCATTCATGAAAGACATTACCTTTAAGTACGAAGGCCCAGCCTTCCCTTCCCTTTTCTTTTCTCCTGAAATGCTAGCTTCCTTCTCACCAGGTTAGAGGAGTCCAATAATCAGATTGCTTCTCTGAGCATAACAAACCTCATTCATTTGGACTTCACCAGTTCAGAATTTGCAGCGAGTCCCCTTGAAACTGAAGTGAATATTGATTTGCATTTGTTTGAAATACAAGACTTGGTATGTACCTACCTGCTCACCAGATGTGAGGGCCTGGGATCATCCCTCGGTGTTGTTTCCGAGACAAGGGCACAGCTTCCCAGGAGCATCCCCTGCATGCACAGCACAGGCCAGCCTGCAGTGCCGCTGCAGTGGGCCAGAGGACTAGTACAGAGCCAGGTATCTGGTTAGTGTATAGCAAATGGCTGTGTAGCCCAGGTTTTCTCCACTGCAGAAGAATAGAGTGGCATCTCTAACTCATGTGACTCTTAAGAAAATCTGGGGGAAATCATAGCCGCAGCTACAGGGCTGAGACCTAGGGTAGCACTTTTGAGAATCTCAGAGGCTGGAATCTCTGGGGCCCCGTTACGGCTCATGACTAAAGAACTAGAGGAGTACTTTTCCCCTCTCCTTCCCATCTCCATGCCATAGATATTTTCTCCATGGATTAATATTATGGCATCAGGTATTGCAAGCTTCCCCCCTCTCTTGGACCCACAGACTTGTGAGCTTTAGTTGGTTCAACATTTTAAAATAATAGAACATCAAGAGTAGTGAAAGAAACCCCAAGACCCTGAACTTTAAAAAGTGTAATGTTTCCCCCTGAGCTACCTGGGCTGTCCCAATAGGTTGTCACAGGCATCATCACCCAACATTGATAGACACTTTTACTATGTTCTATGACTTTAACTCGCATGCACAGTATATAGCACTTTTGTCTCTTTAGGTTGTCATGCAATTTACAAACAATGGGCATTGCTTAAACACTTGGGTTACCAGACCTCATTTCCTGAGCAGGAAAAACCCCGAGCAACTTAAAATATGATCACATTCCATAAAAGATGTAGTGTTGTTTTTATTAACACCCCTGTTATGAGTTAAGTTGTATCCCTCAAAAAGACATGCTGAAGGTCTAACCGGCGGTACCCCAGGACCTTAAATGAAAATAGTCTTATTGCAGGTGTAATTAGTTTAGGTGAAGTCATATTGGTGTAGGGTGGCCCTTACTGCAATATGACTGGTATCCTTATAAGAAGAGAAGCCAGAGGCACACAGGAAGAATGCACGCCAGGTGGAAGCAGAGAAGGAGTGTTGGGTCTAGGAACACCAAGGGTTGCTGGCAAACTTCAGAAGCAAGAAGAGATGAGGAAGGATCCTCCCCTACAGATTCCACAGGGAGCATGACCTCATTGATCTCAGACTTAATAGCTTCCAGAACTGTGAAACAATATATTTCTGTTTTCCCAGTTTGTGGTGTTATCCTATATAATAAATGGCTAACATGCAAATTGACCAAACAGCGGAAAGACTGGTTGCTATGACGCGCACTGACCACCAGGGGGCAGATGCTCAATTAGGAGCGCTAAGGATGTCTGACTGCTAGAGGGCACAGTCTGGGCTGAGGGACCACCATCCCTTCCCCCTCAAGTGTATGAATTTTGTGCACTGGGCCTCTAGTGTTAAAGAAGAAACTAAAACAACACCTGGAAATTGAATTGTCTTTTTTTTTTTTAATAATATCTTGAAAGGGAGTGAGTTCTCATTCACAAAGGGAGAGTGTGGCCTCCTAAGCACAGAGATCACCCATAATAATGGGAGAAGGAGAGGCAGAATAATTCTTATTGAGTAGATATAGTGGGAACTTATTACATAATCCCATGTGAAGAGCATGGCTACCTTTAGAGGTAGGTATTACCCTCACTTTATATGAGAAAACTTAGGTTCAAAGAGTTTTTGTAACTTGGTTTAGACTGCACAACTAGTAAAGAGCACAAGCATTTTCACTCAGGGTCTGCCTCCCCGAGGGCCCCTTCCAGGCAATACTCACACAGCACACCTCCCAGGAGACATTAGTTTTAAGACATATGATCAGCACTCAATTACTACTTCTTGAATATTTTTATTCTGGGTAACACAGGAAAGACTAAACAAGAGCAAGGCATCATAATTGTCTTGAACAAACTTAAAGTTTATTTGGGTAAACAAGAATAAAGAATAATGAAGACACTTAGAGGAAAAATTAACTGCTACGCTGTGTTATTCAGACTAAGTTGCAGAGGAGTTCATGGGGTCAGGGAGAGAGATCCGGGACCAGCCTTGAGGCTGCAGTCATGATTAGTTTTCCTAGTAAACGGCTACCTGTGATAAAAAATAATTTTTCAACCTCTGATCCATCAATAGAGTACAGCCATTACTGTCACATACAGCACTCTACTTGTCATATATTCCCAATGATGATTGCATAATTGATAGTCACATGTATATAATGATAACAGAACACTTAAAGAGAAGCTATTCATTTAATTGGCCCAAATGTTTTATTCCTGTACTGAGGACTGTTTGTTTCTAAAGCAAGTGAAGACCAATATTCTCTTGAACCTGCGAGTAGCTTATCTTCTGACTGTGTGTGTAAATCGCACAGAGATGGTTATCACACAGGGAGAACTTTTGAGGCAAAATAACCTGGAGTCTTTGGTAAATACCCCTGCTGGGGCTTCCCCCCCACACACCCCCCAACCCTCACCAGACTTTTGAATCCTAAAGGGCCTGGAGGAGCACCTGGTACACCATTTCCAAATGCTCTAGCTAGAAGTGACATTGATGTACTCCCTTCTCCTTTAAGGACCACTGTCCCGGAGGCCAGCTCCCCTGTTGGCCTGGGACTTCTCAGGCTCCTCTGAAGGGAGGGAGGCAGTGACTGGGTGAGCTCAGGCACAGTGCTGCCTAAACCACACTTTCCCTGCCTCTAGCTCCTCCCAGCACCAGCTGCTGGGCTCCCTGAGCAGGCAGGGTCTGCTCTGCACAGCATGAGGAGGACACTGTGTCCTTGCACCACCCTTGCTGAGGGTCCCCACACTTAGAGCACTCTTCCCAGGGGAGCTTCAGCATCTGCTCCAGTTAAGGGACTGTTCAGTTAGCAACAGTAGGCACTTGGTTCCTGAACCAAGCTCATATTGGCAAGACTAAATCCTGTGGTCAGGGGATTAGAAGCAAAGATTGTTTCCAGGTGCTGGGAGTATCCCTGCCCCCAGCCCTCCAGGTCCCCAAAGCCCATCTCCCCACAGCTTTCCTCTGTGCGCTGTGATAAGCCAACTTACCATTCATTTGGGTGCATCCTTCTAAAATGTCTGTGTGGTTTGAATAACCGGAACTTACAGTTGTACATTGGGGCCTTCAGTTATGGAAGGTAATCTTTTCATTTTAGGTTTTAAATTAGCCTATAACAACAAGACATGTTTTACATATTTTTTATCTTTGAAAAATCAACTGAAGCTTGTTTTGCTTGTTCCTTCCCAGAGAAGGAAACACCATGCACCTAGAGTAAAAAGGATCCTTTCCCAACTAAATACATGCCTTCCAGGTAGTGACCCAGCTTTAGTGTGATACGTGCAGCTGAATCAGAATCAACCACATTCTTCACAATCATGTTCTTAATTTTAATAGAAATAAAAGTCGTTTTGACACTGAGCCTGTCAGCTGGTGTACACTTAACTCGTCTGTGTGTGGAAGGAATCAGTGTCGTTGCATGTGTCCCTGGAGAGAAGGAGCAGCTGGGTGAAAGAAAGGCTCAACTGGAGTTTCTGGGGAAAGATGGAAACCTAAAAGGGTTTGGGGCTGGGGACCAGGGACACTCCTCTGTTGGCTTCCCTCTGTGAAGGAAAGGAGACTGGTACAGGAGAGTATGTCTGTCTGTGGGTGACAGTAAACAAGTTCCTTCCTTCTCCCCCTTCCCCCAGGACTGGGCTCCATGGGTGATGGGTGATGGGCAGGATAAGGGTGGACACTGGACAGGAAGTGAACAAGTCCTATTCTGTGTCTCAAGCAACGTCTTTCCATTTCCTCCCAAAAGAGATTTAACACCCATCATTCCACTGTATACACTATAAATATCTATCCTTATTTTTCCCTGAATGCGGTGCTAATGAAAGCAAAGACCAGTCATCAAGGGTGAATTATTTAATGCAATAATGTTTTAATCGCGAGAAGAGGCACACATAGTGGAAACGCCTGTGGCTAATGGATTTCCCTGGTAGGAGATAAAAGGCTGATTACACAGCAGAGCAAGGGAAGACCTGGTGCACTAATGACAATTTACAGGTCAGCTCACTTACAGGAGAGATTTAAAACGCACCATCTGTTTTCTAACTGGAGGTTGATAAGTATGATTTTTACGGACAGTCAATGTCCCTTCGTCAAGAATTGGTACTTGTTTGTCTTTGTGTGTCTTGTTAGTTTGGCCCCATAATATTTTACTGACTGGACCCCCAGATTCTTTCCAAATCAAATTGTTTCTGAATTGAATGGATTGATAGCGGCCAACCCTGCTTCCATTCAGCCTTTTTCTGCCAAGTTCAAGTCCTAATGCCCAGAAGACATCATTGTATGTGTTGGATTAACTCTGTTCTAGACGAAGCTACCCTAGAACTAGTCTTGTATCACTGTGAGAGCATTGAGAAAATGTCACTCAAATAATTTTCTGGACCCTGTGGTTGAATTTGGGAACCCCAGGAACTATTTGAATGAACAAAAGCTCCTAAATTCCACATGTTTAATTTTCACTGAATCACTTCTTTTCAGCATAAGATACTAAAACAAATCAACAAACCTACCTGTGAGTTTCTGCTTCACAGCACTCTATTCCTGAAAGAAATTAACCGATGACTGGATTGTTAAAGGCACTGTGTCTTAGCACAGGTTGGCAGCATGAGGCAGGTTACCACTAAAGCTATGCTACCTCGGTAGCTCAGTGAGGCCCAGAGCACTTGCTTGGCACAAGATGTTTCTGAACCGGCAAGTCTGTCCAAGTGTGCGAATTACGGATGCTGCTCATAAACACACTGGTCTTCACAACAGAAACCATGGCAGGTTCCTCATTAAAGTGTGATGAGCTGAGTGCCCCAGACAGTGTGTTTCCTTCTGCTTTAGTTAAGGTCAGCTCTGCATGCGGAACGGCTGGGTCTCGGGCTCTTCCAGGCATGCTCCCAGGAGCCGCCCTGTGCCAGCCTCTGGCTCTTCTTTCTTCTGGATGCCAGGCATGCTTCACCGTGTCAGAAACTTCCCCAAGGGTCCCTCTGCATCTCCACACTGACCCAAGACCCGCCTCGTGGCCAATTCGAAAGATAGGACTTGTGCCAAATTAGAGCCCCGCACTGAGGTTCCCTTCCTCTCAGAGCCACTTCTGAGGGAGCCCTCCTGCGGGATTGCCTCCCAGCATCCCTGCGGACCCAGCCCGGCTTTGTGTAACCTGTTAATGACATCTCTGGCTAGCGTGCTCTGGCCTCTGATCTGACAAAGCCTCAGAGGAGGGTGGCTCTAACCCGTGTTCCTCATCCAGTGCATCTAAGATCATAGGCACCGTAGAGGACAGAGGGACCTGGAGACCATGGCAACCGCCCCTCACCCGTAGCCCTCTCCACTGTCTCCAAGGAGCAGGAAGCTTCCAGACACTGACCGTGCAAATGGTGAATGGAAGTTAGAACATATGATACCATATGATAATATTTTATATATACTTCAGGTTTGTGCTTTTTTAACTTTAAGAAAAAATGGTTTTGAATAAGAAAGGGTCTGCCATTTTTTAGCACGTCATGTTTACACATTACTTCATTTCTTTGTTCTGTTTATTTATCCGCAAACACATTCTCCGTGCCAGATACTGGGTTAGGCACAGAGATGGCAGAGGGACGATCGCTTGTGACGTGGTCATTCATTAAAATACCTTGAAAGTTTTGACTTAATAAAGTTGAGTTAGAAAGAGGAGCAGGGCCATGTAAGATCATCCATGAGCTTCCAGACAGGAATCATCACCTTTTCATAGACAGTTATTACCCTGACTACTACTGGCCCTCTCCGAACCTTGTAAACCTATGGATAGACCATTGAGCTGGATGTTTTGAACTTGAAAACTTTTTTCTTTAAAGTGTATTTTTCTGTTCATCCAGTGCTTCAATTTCCTATAAGATATGTTTTTCTTTATTTCAGTCCTTGCCCCAAGGGCATCCTTGGAATTGATATTTGTGAAGAGAATATATTTGTTAAGTACAAGTACCTTGTGCCGCCAGGACATTGCTGCTCCGAAATAGTCTGAAATTAGTTTTAACTACTCTGGCTTTGCATTAAAAGAAACCTCTAACAGCCATGTAGCATTTACTACATCAGGAATCCTATCTGCTCCTCATCAGTTCCACGTTTCCTACTTCCCTCTCTTCATTTCATTAGTGTGTCTCGGTCGGAGGAAAGGGCTACAGTTTACGAGTTAAACCAGTGGCCAGTGGTCAGTGTTGAAGCGGTTGTTGAATGAGTGCCAGCACCAATGGGCAGGACATACGTTCTTGGCCTTTTGAATGCATCTAAATTGGGCTGGCGATAGGTTGTAGAACTTGATGAACTACTCCAGGGTAGAGAAAAGTTTTGGTGAGTCAGTTCACACAGAAACCAGTGAAAACACTGATCCCACATTTCATCCTGAGCTACTGACTTCATTGATCTAAAGATCTGATTTGTTTTCTTTAACATTCTGTGCCCTCAGTCATCACCATCTCAATGTATTTTACAAAAATGATTTTTCCAAAAGGTATTTCCAAGTTTAACTAAATGCAGGTAACTATGGAAGTTGAGGTTTGGTCTGCAGGGGGAGGGTGACAGCAAGTTCCAAGGGCCAGGGAACTCATTAGTAATGGTTTGAGAGAATGTGATGGCAAAGGGAGTTATGAGAGAGATAAACATCTATCAAACAGGTTAGTATTTTGTCAGGTTTGAAAACCAGAAGGAGATTTGAAAAACATTCAAGTTCATGGGAAGACAGCAGTTCTTGGTGGTTAAGGCTAATGTGAGGGTGCAACTGTGTTTGTAGACAAACTCCATCTTGTGCTGCTGGCTCTTATGAAGCTGAGAATGCAGTAATTAGCAAAGAAAGAGCCAAAAAATGGGGAAGAGTTTAAAAAAATAGGATTTATGAACAGTGCTAAGACATACACATCTAGAAGAGGTATGCTGACATTTTAAATTGAAAATTAAGTCATGTTCAGTAGTTCCCATTTGCTAGACTTTGTGTAAGAAAAAAAAATTTAAAGACTATGAGACTCATTGCCTTTGATTTGAAGGAGTTAGAAAGTTAGAAAATATTTCACTTTCATAACTAAAATCATCACCTTGATAAGAGAATAAGATATACTTGTTTGTTTTAGGTAGGTGATAGGTGAAATGGTAATCACATAAACTATGATTATAGGTGAAATATCATGCCATAGAATTATAGACACTATGAACACAGAATCACTTTATTTTTCAGAATTGGATTTCATAATAAGATATCTCAGTTAATTGTAAAACAATAGTTACTGTTTGTCCTCAAACTTAGTGTCCCAATAAAAATTGTATACTAAACTACTTAGCAGTCTATTTTGTGTTAAATTTTTTAAAATTTTAAATAACTTCATTTGCTCTTTGTAGCTACCAAATTTTTGGTGTATTATGAAAGAATTATTTATTGCATGATTTGTCTGACATCACTATTTGCTCACTGGTTCCATGTAACTCTAACTTCTCTTATATTATTGTTTTAACAGCTCGGCTCATCCTCTTCGGTGCCTTTTACATCTATTTTTTCTCAGCTTTCTGTGACGGTTGTGGTGCCTCTCATTATTGGACAGGTAAGGTCTCCAATACCATCTGCTCTTTTCTTTATAGATCAAATTGTGAATTCTTAAAAAAAAAATTGTGAATTCTTACAAAATGTCAGGACAATTGAGAAAAAGATAGAGGACAAGACAGTTAAATGAGAATACAAGACTGTGCAATGCAGGTTTTATCAATCACAATATTCTCATCATTTTATTTTTTTAGTTAATATCAATGTGCTTTACAGATAGCTATAGATAGGAACACCTGCCCAGAGTCTTGATTTTTTTTTTTTAACATTTATTATCCCTTCTTTAGAGCTATGCAGCTAGCTTGAAACAATTAGCAAACCGTTACCTTGTTCTGTGACCTCCGGTAAGGTCTCAGCATTTGGGGCCATTGCTGGGAGCAAGCATCTGTCTTTGGCTGCTCAGAGCCTCCTCCAGCAGCAGG